ATATATATATATATATATATACAGTGAGAGATGAAACCTTGAAGTGAAACACTGGCAAACAGCTAAAACAAACAATATCACTGATTGTGTTATTATTTGGCAGCCTGTTTGGCGTTCTGTAACGTCCTTAACTCTTTTTCAACTACATAACTTTGTAATACATTCAGAAACATATTCCAACCACAAATAACTAAAGTGTGTGTGTGTGTGTGTGTGCGCCCACCAGGTGTGGGCGATATGACAAAGATGTCTTTTTTTTCAGGCAGGATCACGATTATGAATTATGTCTTACTGTTAAGTTACTGAACAGTACAACTCAACTTTTTTCCCTACATGGTATCAAAACACCACACCAAATTTTGTTCTCAAATTTAACCACAAGTTTCCTAAAATATTTATTAGTTACTTTTAGAAATCCACTCTTCACATTGGCATATGTTAGATCCACTGCACAGCACAAAAATAAGTTTGTTATTTTTACTCTTATTTCCTTCTTCCAGAACGGTGGTTAAAAAGCACCAGGGGACATTTCCAGAAGTTGAGTTTTCATTCAAACTAAAGTAGTATAGTTCGACTGGTGTGTTATGACCACAGGCCAAATTAATCGGAGCACTCCCAGGCCAAATACAAAATAAAACACACAAGGGCTACATCACATCACTCCCAGTAAACTTCACGGAGGAGAATGTGTGCAAAACGGCATCACTGCTCTATTTCCTAATCTAATAATCTCTAGTCTAGCTCAGCTGAAAACACAGAATCCATGGTACCGGTACCAACAACGTTAGCTTCACTTTACCCGTCTCTCCTCCGCTCCATGTGTGGAGCCCCACACTTTGTGAAACATGAGCTTTCAATAATGGGCTGCTAAATGGTGGCAACGTAGTGGTGCGTGTTCATCTGGAGGTGGCCCTTGTGTGGGCTTTCGTGCTCTTTATACTTCCTCATTCATGACTACATGGAATAACATATGACATTATTTTGTGGTATACCTTCAAATTAGGCCGCTTTATTTTTGGTAACATCAAATGCTGGATGAGACCAACCTGGTTCGTGGTCCGGCCGCTGTGAATACCCCTCAGCTGCTCTGGTGCTGTTGGAGAACCTTGCACATGACACAGTGGGTGAAATTGCACTGCTTCTTTGCCATCATTGAAGGATCCAATAAGTACAGATAAATGTAGTTATGCAAACCGACTTAAGGGCGTTTCTGCATCAATTTACTGTGGGACCTGAAATGAGGCTTGTGATGATTCATAAAATCAGGCGTATACGAGCTGCGTTATAAATCTGATGAAAAGAGTGCACATGCATATGTCTGTCTCATTAATCTATTCATGCATTCTGAGCACTTGGAGCAAGATGCAGATTCGTCCCAATATCGCTCCTTAATACCAGCCACACCAGCAACGGATTACCCTCACACCCCCGGCCACGCCATGGCCGTGCAAATAAAATGTCAGTTTAATGATCGTATTTGACACAACTGCTCCAACGCTGTTCCTACTCCAGCCGGTGGCTTCTGTTGTTCTCAAGCTGTGACTTTCCCAAAAGCAACAGTTTTCTGATTTGTAAATAATTGCATATCCTTTTTTTTTTCTTTTTTTTCAAAGCTCAGGCCCAGAACAAACTGCAGGAATCAACTACGCAGGGGAGAACCTTTTAACCCTTTCTAACCCTTTTGAACTTGTGATGATCAACTTGTGATAAGAATTTGTGATGATCAAAAACTAGTTAATTGAGGAATTCTGAATGATGAAATAAATTTATTGCAAAGATATTTACAATTAAAACTCCGTCGGGTCACTTTTGACCCATGGCGTGTGTCAAAGGGTTAACAGCTGTTGTAGTGTGTATTACAGAGCAAGGTTTTTATCACACATATTTTTAATAGTAGTGTGTCTAAAAAGGGGGCATCAACTGAGAAAACCATCCATTTAGGCTTATTGAGATGCTCTAGGTCGTATCAGATATGGTTGATGGCGGGGCATATTCTCAGCATACAGGAAGTTGTCGTTAGAAATTTGAGAGTAAAATTTACGGCAGCAAATGAGTCGTTCATCCACAGATGATTTCTTTACTTCTCTAGTCCCGTTGGTAGACTTCGGTACAGAACCTTACAGGCCAGCCATTGTTGGTAGCTGAAGTGTTCTGGGTTACAGTTGAACGATGGTGTGCTTAAGGATGATTCTGCGTTATCACCAGCTAGGTCTTGCATTTATATTCTTCTTTTCATCTCCTATGAATAACAATAAGAGAGATAATGTGGGAATGCAGTGATTTTGTGAGCAGTCAATTAGAATTATGAACATTTCATTTATCAAATATTTTAGAATGCCGAGTGCAGCTACGGCAACTGCCGTTTTCAAAAACCTTTAGCCAAATAAAAACAACCGACAAATGAAAAACAAAACACGGACAAATGGACCAACACTGAAGTCTAGAAGTTCACTCGTTTATTAGGAACACATCCACAGATCCAAAGAACGAGTGGGAGCCGCTGCTAACCCAGTAGCATGACGGCTAGCGGTAATATGTCAAATGTGTGCGATTGTTTTTATGTTGTAGCCATAAAAAAAAGAGTATTTCATAAAAATAAGTTCTGGCTTTGTGCATTTAAAATGACTCTGGAGTCCAAATAATCAGAGGCCTACGGATCCTCACGGGAGTTAAACAAAGATGTATTGTCATCAGCTTTGGTCCCGAGACACCTGATTTATTGAAGTCATTCCATCGCGGAACCTTGTTGTGAACCTAACTGGCATTGAGACAAAGTGTGATGAGGGAACGAAGTGAGTGAGTTCAACAAAGAGTCACTCGCAGCAACAGACAAACGAGGACATCGTCTCTCCGACGGAAGATGAGTCACGTCGCAACAGAACCGACATGATGAAAAATGGCGTGCTTTATGAGACTCTGTCTCTTCCGTATGCCGCGCAGTCTTGCATAATTGTTACTATGTATTGATTTCCCCTTAATGACTGCCAGAAGGTATCGCTTCACACAGATGAGAAGCTCATATTTATCCATCTATGATTATTCTCTGTCCTTCCAGCCTGCATTCATCCTCCATCATTCATCCCTCTTTCACCATTTGTCTGTCAACACAGTATTTCATTAAAGTTGTCTTTGTGAGGTCATATCTTTGGAGAATATTCATACAACTAAAGGTTATAGGGAAGTTTGAATATACAATATCATCTACAAATGTTTTTTGAAGTTTAAATAGCGTTGTTTTTTGTTAGTAGTAGCAAACACTATTGATGGGATTTTCAGAGCTGAAATCCAGACTTGGATGAAGTCGGTTTGTTTATTTGGTGATAATACATGTTCTTACAAAGAAATGAGTTTTTGGTCTCAAACATGGGGTCTCAAAAATTGTGAAATTTCTAACTACTTTGTAGGCTCATGCCTAAATCGCTGTGCACACACAAAGAAGGAAATATGTATCTGTATAAAGATACTTTGCAGAAGCCTGATTGTGTTCATGAATCTCAATGAAGACTGATTTCCACTCCCAGTCTTTAGACCAGTCAATGAAAATCACAGCAAAAGAGAAGCATCATTTCACTGATTTCCTGTAGCCGGGTCTTCATTCCCATATTTGCATGTGCATTTCCATTATTAATTAATTATGGTATTAGGAAAGATGATGAAAAGGGCAAAATTCAATAAACATTCTACAATTGCAGAAAAGAAGAGCTACATGTGTTATAGAAAGTCCTTTGTCCAATAGATTCTGATGTAGTGAACATCTAAGTCACATGACTGATCAGCTGTCTCTGCTTTCGGCATATTCCCGCAACTTACTTGTCTCCAGACAACATGAAACATGGCCAATACTAGCTGCCTAAGAACAAGTACAATTTCTCCAGTTCCTAAAGACCTCTTTCTATTTATATCTCAAAGATGGTCAGACGGCCGAGGCAACTTGTTTTATTTTCCATTCACAACCTCTACTTCTTCTTCATTTACTGGCGGGTTACAGCCATACATAGCCTATGCGCCAACTTCTGACAAAACTACACTCAAGCCTTTTCTCGCTCCAAACCAGACGAGGGAAACGTCTAAACCTAATTCGGTTGTTTTTTTATTGGGACATTTCAAAAGTTTCCTTAAAGTTCACTTAAATGCACGTTGGTGAGGTGGTCCAACAAGGCCAGAGCACACGATCATTATGTACGACTGTGGCTGTTTATAGCATCCGTGGAGTTGTTCATTTGTCTCATGTACATGCAAACCGTCATGGGTTTACTATATAGTTTACCACAAAGACACATAAGTCGTCTACGAAGAGACACAAAGAGACTACAAATAGACCAAAGCGGTGTGTTTCCTGGTCCGCTGATTGAGTGCTGAAAAGGCTAGAAGTGCTCCAAGAAGTGCTCCATCAAAATGTAGTAATTCTCAATTATCTATCGGTTGTAGGTCCAGGGTCTGGATACATTGGCGTCCGGATCCAGACCGCGGTCCGCCTATTAGTTATCCCAAATATAGACTCTTAAAGAAACACAATACACATTCAATGAAATGGGCTGAGAGAGGATAAAAAATGTTTCATTATGTAGACTTTGTTTCTGCATATTTCTAAGTGCATGTTATATGTATATGCTTGAGATGCACACATTCTCACTGCACAGTTTCTTAAGAACAGATTTACTTTGTGAGTCCTGGTACAGTAGGTGACCTTCAAATTGTCTTGAGCAGAATTTTTTGAGCAAAAAAGATTGTTTTGTCCCTGCTTTATTAACCTCAAATTAAAAAAAAAGATGACGCTGAAAGAACTTGGCTGGCTGAAGCATATGCTGTAAATGTAGCCCCTTTGTCCCGCCACCCTCACACCCTATTTTTGCTCACATTCATCATTGTTCCTCCCCGTTTCCTTTTATCCATCCTACTTGCCTCTTTGCGTCTGGTTTTCTCCCCTCCCTATGTCTGGATGACTGAGTAATTCTGTCTCTGAACAGGACCTCCCATTCTCTCCCGTCTCTTCACACCAGGCAGAAGAACTTTGCCCGCGGCATCGAGCAGCAGCTCCCAGATGGCATGGCGGTGGCATCGGTGCCAACGGAGGTCCAGTGCCACGAGGAGCTGTCGGACCCCGTCCCCGACCCAGAGTACCTCACAGGTATGAGACCATATTCCACGGTTCACTCGGCACGCTCGCAGCTGTGCGATAGTGCTTCATCACAGGCCTGTCAGAAATCCTCATTACTAAAAAAAAAAAAGTCAACATCAGCGGGCTTGATAACCAATGTGGAATGCTGTTTGAGTCGCCCGAGGCGTTTGCTAATACATTCTGAGATTTTAGTCATTTATGATGTTCGGGCAGTTTGCCATGGCTAGTGCGAGTGTAGGAAGTTACCCAGTGTAGTAGACTTCATCCATATGGGCCCCAGTGAAGATATCCTACTGGGTTAACAATAACTAAGACCATGACCCGGTTCTGGCTGGGTTCAAATCATTTCCATTCTTACTGGGTGCTGGTGGGGTTTTGTTCTTGCATCTTATGTTTGTGGATCCAAGCGGCCTCGCAGCTTTCTTGATGATTGCTGGAGCACCTTGTGGCTGCAGTGTTGTGCAATCCTGTCTCCTACCAAGTTGCAACAAGCAAATGTTTTTCAAGGAATGAACATAACTCGGCCCAGATTACGTTTTCTTGTCAACCTAAATATGAAATGTTGGGAATTGATGTTCTGACAAGTCACTAAATTACTTTTTGTTTTCCTACAACATCCACTCCTGCAATACAACATCTGCTTCTAGCAGACAAAGCATGATTCAACTTATTTATGGTTCTGTTGAGAGACTCACAGCACTTGTTGTGGGACGGGGGTCTTTGGTTTGATCCTGAAAACAGTGACTTGAAGCCCAAGATGAGACGTGTTACTTCATCCTTATTTAACCTAAACTGCAGTCTTTCACTAACCTTAAACAATATATACATTTCTGGAAGGCAGTGTTGTGATCTGGTCTGTTTGGGTCGACTTAAGCGAATCATTATCCTTGAATCTATTTCACATGGTGGAGACTATCTTCCGGTCCTTTTTGGATCTCTTTTTCTTTTTTTATGTATTTGTACACGTTACATTTGGATTGGGTTTTCACTTGTTTGGTTAGTCTCGATCGTCATGGGGATGCACTGTTTCTTGGCGTGAGACATAGATGTGTAGTTTGACATTTTAGTTATTTTCTGGCCTTTAAGTTTCATAGTTCGTTTTGACAGGCGAGTCAGAAGTGGAGAATAATAAAGTGAAACAGTACATTCATGCTCACGATCTGTACTGTATTCAGAGCTTCCACTAGCAGACTGGTACTAGTGACCCACACTGTACTGTGTTAGCATCGTGCTGCATCGTCAGATATCCAACAACATGTTGCCAGAAACCAAGCTGTCTTTAAGTATGTGAATTAATGAATGGTAGCAATTGAAAGCAATTTACATATCTGTTCTCTCTCAAATACAAAAAAGGTAAAAATATCAATAATGCATGAATAATACCTATAGCACAGCATGGTTATGACACAAAATATAACACGAAACTGTGGCCTCTAAGCTTCTGCCATCTAGTGTAGTCCTGATGAAATGGACCCGAACTTCACCACCGTAAAGGGTGATGAGTTGGATGAGACTGTTAAATGTTTTTGTCCAAATTATTTTGTCTATTTTGTAAAATCTTGTAAAAAATGCAAAAGATGCGTTTTGTTTGCGTGCATATTCACTGCCAGACCACAGTTACATGAGGCCCTGCTCTATCTATATATATTATATATATATATACACACACACACACACACGCATACACACCCTTTGTTCTGTTCCTGTCAGTGCGACTCACAGGGAGCTCACCATCCAACTCAACAATGAATGTGAAGAGAAAATATATAGAACATTAGCAAAATCTCTACTGGGAAGTTTGTGTGTTTTTGTGTGTGTGTCAGGATTCATTAGTGGGGGGGCAGTCAGATGCCATTTTGCTGCTCTCTTCATTACCAGTGCAGCACATGGCAGCAATGTTTGAGCAGCATACAGCCAGAGAAGAATCCTGGCTCTCCATATCTATCAAGCGATTCCAGAAGGCCAACGATTTTTACCCGTCTGTCCGGACGCCTCATTATCCGCAGAGTTTGACCTCACTGTGCTGAGCGAGCCGTTACGGCGCTGGTCGTTACAGCGCTGGCCTCTAAATGTTTGATTGACGAGTCGGATGGGAATACAATGAACGAAAACTTCATAAACAACCACTCCATAATGCTTCTCTTATTATTTCCCCTCAGTGCTGACAGTTAAGTTGTAGAACATGCGGGACTTTTGTAAAGAGCAGGCTTCTGTAATGGAGAGGATCTCCTCCGCCACTCTGCCTGCATGAGTAACAACCTGTTTTTTTCCCTTTGTGTTCAGAGTGCGGTGGAGAGCACTACAATAGAGAGTGGAATTAATAATTATAATTCAGCATATTTTTCTTTCCTGGAAATGCCTCATTCAGGCAGCCTGCTGGCTGAATGAGGCATGTGAGACGGGTTTATGGCTTGCTGCTGATGTAACGGGGGGGGGGGGGGTTCAGTGCCACATCACGCGAGGTGACGGACAGCCGGATGGCGACGAAGCGGCAGTGGTTATTTTGTGACTGCCTTTTCATTGGAAGTTGCGGATATTAAAACCTTTCTAATCTAAATTAAACTTCTGCTGGGTCCATGAGCCACTGCCCCCCCACCCATTCTCTGTGCACAGCTCAAACCTTTTTTCTATCCCTACATCGCCCCTGGGCTCACAGCGCTCACGGGGTCCAGAACAGAGTTCGACGCAGCGGCACATCAATTTTTTTTTTTTATTAAAGAGTAATATCATGAATTTAAATATCTTTTCAAAGCGTCCAGCAGGGTGCCACAGAAAGCACACAGTGTACTCTGGGGGCTCAGTAGTGGGGTTTCCACTCCGGTTCCCCGACCATAGAAAGTGAAAACAGCAAGTTGTTTAGATTTGAATGAAACTACAGCTCCCATGAATCAAACAGTATTAAATATAGTTATCATATATTCCTTATTTATTATATTCACCCTCATGTCTAAAAATTACAGAACTTTAAATGTTTTGTAAAAAAAAACACAAAAGTGCTGATAATACGTAAGTGAAACATGTCCCTTTAGGCTCGTTATTGCTTTTCTAGGTGGTGAAGCAGCAACATTCTTTATTTTGTTTTGATTTCCCTCAACTGCTGTTATTATAAAAACAATACATTAATTGAATTGAGCAGTTGAAACACGTGAAATCTTCCAGGTGCTGAAGTTGTTTTTTTTCCAGTAATCGTGGTAAAAATAAGACAGGAAACAGACTGTTTGACAGAAAAAAAACTAAAAAGAATATAGATATATACAGTATATACAGTATATATATATATATATATTAGTGCTGGGCAACGATTCAAATTTTTAATCGCATGATTTGTTTGCGATTAATCTCAATGTTATGACAAAGTTCAATAATGAATTCAAAAGTAGTGTATTGCGCACTTTTATTTTAAAAGTACTGCTATATGAACAAAAGGGCAATGACATTTGGTTTGCAAACACTTTAAACACATAATGTTCTTTTTAACAGCAGTATTCCCTTTACACAGTAGCAGTTCTATCTCTTGCACACTATCTGTGCTCAGTGTGTGTGACTGTATGTGAAACGTTCCACTGCTGTGCAACATGAACAAAATGTTTCAGCACGTTTCATCTAAATGTGTGTATTGTGTCTTCATGACAGTCAGAGCATGTGAATGCAGCTCTACTGTTCATCAATATAATGCTGTAACTCTGAGGCAACTATGGTGACCAGCGATGTCCAGTAGTCTCCAGTGAGAGCAACAGCTGGTGCACGTTGTAACGCCGTCGCTTTAGTAGTCCTCTCCTTTTAATACAACTTGTGTATTCTTCTTGTGACGGTGCATCTTGAGGCTCATACGTGACGTCATTCGTTGCGATCCTAAAGGTGCGTTCACACCAAACGCGACGCGAACGCACCTTGAGAACGTTCCTCAGACCGACATCTTCCACAATACTAATCGGCTGCAGTGTGTATCCACTTCTCTGTAGCATTTGTTAGCTTCTCTTGCATTTGTTTATCTATGCTTCTCCCACACGTTGCAACCAACGTAGTCTCACGAAGACTTCCTCCACCGCTGCCAGTGAGCAACAGGCAGGCAGAGCAGGCAGGTCCACATGGATATCCCTGCTGGCCGACCGTCTGCTGAACAGCAACCCACCAACCCACATCCTGTACTTGAACCAGCGGCGCTTTTCTCTTTGAAGTGCCGCGGAGTTAGCCTGCTAGCTAAACTGAGACAGCTAAGCTAAGCTAAGAAAGTGCACACTCAGTCGCCGAAGCCTAAAATAGTCGTAGCGGTCCGTAGTCGGTGCTTAATAAACACCGCTGCCACCAATGTGACCGAGCATCCTGGGTTTGTGTATGAGGTGCACTTATAAGACGGTAATAAGCCGAGTCGGGAGACCAGACATCTCGTTCAGCCCACGGCTTCTCTCTTTATTTCTGCCCCCCTCCCTCCCTGGAGACTACTGGACATCACTGCGGTAAAGTCAGCAGACACTCAGATCTCCGTGGTCAACTCAGCAGACACTTACACTTTAGTGCACCTATATGCTGAAATTCACGGTAAACGCATTTAAACAGCACAGATCGGGAGCGAGCGAAACATTAACGTGAGACAACATCCGGTTTCTTCAGACGAACATCCGGTTTTCAGAATAAGATGCCAACAAAGTATGAATTATATTTACATTAAGTATAAAACATGCTACCTGCAGCTCGTGAACCAAACATTATTGCACTTTTGTTCACATAGCAGTACTTTTAAAATAAAAGTGCGCAATACACTACTTTTGAATTCATTATTGAACTTTGCCATAATAATGCGATTAATCGCAAAAAATTTATGCGATTAATCGCGATTAAATATTTTAATCGTTGCCCAGCACTAATATATATATATTCAAGGTCACCCGACTGTCTTTTTCCGGAGCTTTTGACCATATCTCACAGACTTCCTCAGCGGATTTTTCATGGAGATTACTCAGTTGTCATCATGTGACCTAAGCAGCCTCATAACTCTGGCCAGTGTGTAA